GTTAGAGAGTAATTAAACTTTTTTCTGAGATAGTTTTGCATTAATTTAATTGATTTTTGAGTATAGAAGTTACTGCGAATATCAGCCATCAATTTAGTTGCTTTCTGTGTAACGTTTTGAAAATGGAACACGGAACGCCCCACTTGGCTATACTTGAGATGCTAGAGGACAATCTCGACCACTATTCTAGACGTTCGTGGTGAAGATGAAATTCTTAAACAAGCGAGGAAACGAATCAAATGTCAGAAGTATTGGGTCTCTAATTAAGTTCCCGAATTTGATCCAAAAATTGAAAATTAATTTTTCCCAGTAGAAAATATCAAATAACATTAATCGAAATACTGCCCGTCCGCCTGGATGCAGCTCTACCACCGTTCCGGCAACAAATCAATTCCGCGCTCGTAAAAGTCATTACTCCTCAATACAAACCAAGCAGTCATTTCTCGACGCAAATGACTGTTGTTTCGAAACGCTCCTTCTTGTCCAACCAGTGCTCCAATGGTCTGAAGAGATGGAAATCGAACGGAAACAGATCTGGGGAATACGGTGGATGATCCAAGTGCCCAAATCTGTCAAATTATTCTTGTTTTTTTGGCAACATGTGGCTTTCCATTGTCTTGACTCAAAATGACTTGGCGACGGCGGTGACGTGACGCGTGCTTGATTGTAACGGTCCAGTTGCTGAAAATATCGCTCAGCCTTGATGGTCTGACCGGCTTGCAACAAGTTCCAATGAATCGGCTCACTTTGGTCCCAGAAAATGATTAGCATTGCTTTTGGCGCAAACTAATTTGGTCTCGATGTTGGTGTTCCTTGCTGACCTGGAGACAATCACTGATTTGGACGACGCTGGCTCTTGAAGAACACCCACTTCTCATCAATAATGACAATTCTGTTCAGTAAACGAAGAGCGGCGATGACGACGAAAATGAGGTTGCGCAATTTGCTTTCTCTTGTTCTTTTGAACTTGTATGAGATGGTGCGGAATCTAATTACCTTTGCGCCATTTCTTGCCTACATCTTTCAGAATCTTCCGGATGCGCTTGTCTGAACATAGGAAATCATCGGCCAAATCACTGGTTGCCAAAGTCGAATCTTCTTCAGCCGCTTTGAATGATTGCTTCTCAATCAATTTCACGCGGACTTTCGGATTTTGGTCGATCGGCCAAATCAGTATCCCCATTGCGAAACATTGTAAACCATTCATACGCCATAGTTCTACCCTCAACTTGGGGGCTTTTTGCACGATTGATGTTGTTAAATGCAGTTTGAAAATTTTACCTCAACTGGAACTCGTAAAGCAGTAACTTGCGAATGACTTCGTGTGACTTCCCCATTGTTAGACAATTATGTGTAAAAATATACCAAACGATGTGCAAGAAGATACTGCACAAAATAGGTGAAAGAAAAATTTGTTTTTGTGGGAAATTTTGTATTTCTGGATCAAGTTCGGAAACTTAGTCGGAGAGCTAGTACCTAGACTTTCACAATAGGAAGAAGTGTGCTGCGAGCCAAATAAAGTGCTAAAAATAATATTTAAAATAGGAATAGTGAGCAGAGAATACAACTCGCGGAGTTGATCACCCATTGAGTGATGCACCATGCATGCGACTTCATCAAGCATCGCTGGAGATGAACTGATGCATATCTGACGTTCACAACCACTGTAATGGTCTAACCGTTGGATCCAGTTAGTAATGCTAACCTCCCACCCAGGTCTGGTAGACTATGTCGCCGCTGGTGGAATAGAGGGTTTGGTGAACCAGGAATGCGAGGTCGAACCAATGAGGACGCGTGTGTTGCAAAATGCCTCTAAATACTGCACATATGCTTCTCTCAGAGTGGAAACATCTGGCAGTCTTTTTCTAAGACTTCTTAGCAAAAGTCTGCAATACTGACATGATGGGAATCCTTTCAGAACGGGAGAACATATACCACAATCGAGCTCAAGCCTGGCACCACTTGAGTTTCGAGATTCTTCTCCAGTTCACCTCAAAAGAAGGTCCAGGTTCGTCATTGCCGTTTTCACAACATCACTGAATCACGGGCTACGTCCTCAAATTTTTCCATCTCACATCAAACGCTTAACACTCATTCATTCGTATATTTGTAATTTTCACTATAACTTATATTCATAATTCTTATAACTTTTTGTGTCAGATCTCCTCCAATGAAAAGACCACCGCTTGCAGCAGAAGTTCCAAGAACGGTAGGTTACGTCTGATATTATTTCTATTCCTATAATTTTGTGCAATTCCATAGCCTGAAATAGCTACAAGTAAGCACAAGGTGTCTTCAAGTAGGTCATATCATTTCTTATACGATTATTGTAGGTGTCGGGTCTTCGAGCTCAATTTGAAGGGGTAAAGACTGGCCTTCCTGATTATCGAGAACGTGCCCATTCATCGTCCAGTGAGAGATAGACGAATCTGTTGAATTTCACATCATTCAAAAACTCTACTTCATGAGCGGTATTGTAGGATGTTTGTAACCGGCCAAAAGTAAAGTATGCCTATAAAGATTTCTGTTACTGATGAGAGTCGTGGACACCGTGTTACTTCATCTGTCAAATTAATGAACTTTTAACTGAATCTTTACTTGGTATATGCAGTAAAATATGGCTTAACTTACAATGTGGGTTGCAGACCTCTGAGGAAAATTCTCTCAAATTGTTCTCATCCATCATTCTAACCCCCTCGAAGTTATGCGCGCTCAACCACAGTGAGTCTTGACAGCAAGTCGCATCCAAAAGATAACAGGCGAAACTTTTCATTTGTCATGATGCTCCGTATTTCTGCTTTCCATCGATGAATTTTCGTAAACTATGCTGATTTCTCACAAACCATCATTGCGATGGTCACAAATGACGGTGTAGAACAAGCCGGCGTTCATATACATATGAAATGAGATAGTTCTCAATTTTTTATGCCCTCAAAACTTGACCCAGAGAAGCACAGAGCAAATTCTTCGCTGTTAGAGCGCGTAACACAAGAACCGTCTGGGCAGATAATCGCGATCTGGAGACCACCTCAGGCTCTAAATTTTGCTCGTATTTTGGTAACGTCGTGGGTGTATTTTACAGTTGCTCTGTTATGAGAGAATTTCATGTACTTTATTTCATAGTAATCTTTTCATAAGCGCCAATTTATTCCATCATTTTTTCTGTATGACAGTGATGGGGAGGTGATGTTGATGTTCGTTGTTCCTGAAAGTATTGCACTTCATTTTAATTAGAACAAATTTTCACTAGTAAGAACAATCATTTGTGAATTGGGCAATTTTCTGAAGAATGCTCTGAATCTATGGACAGACATCTAAACCACTAACATTACACAGAAATGAAAAAGTGGAATAACAGTCTCTAATGAATGTCATTAATCTTCGTCTCTTTATTTATAGAACGCTCACAGTCTACTGCAAACGTTTTAATGTGTTCTGCATAGTATTTTTGGCCTAGATTAATGTAGGAAAAATGCTTAGTTTGCGAAATAAATCAAGTTCTGTGTTAGGATATCTGCTCACAAAATGCTTACCCCGTGTCGTAAATGAGTGTAGCAAATATCGTCTTCCTAGAATAGTGAAGTGTACACGTTCTCAGTTACTGGCATGGATATCATTTCATCAGATGTGATGTGACGCTTAACACTGCTTTACTCTGACTCGTTATCTCACAACCATAATTTATTCGAATTTTTGACCAGCTCCGAGTGCAGCTTGATGGCTTGTTTGCTTTACTCCCTTAAACGCCTTGTCTACCCTCCTTAGTTGAGCACCTAATGTCTAGGCATGGTTTTCTTTGAACTTTCTAGCTTGCCGGCATGGGCACTTCTTGCTCTTTACCACAGATACGTTGGATGGAGTTGAGCGAGTTTTTCTTTGTTTCGAAGTGCCATTTCTTCATAGTGACAAGAATCATAGAGATTAAATCGGTGAAAGGCAAAATAAGAAGGGAAAAAATTTAGTTGTCAAAAAAATATCTTATCCACAAACGTGGAAGACATTTCACAGTTGCTTGTCAGTTTTTTAGTAAGGAAAGCTGGCTATCTAGGCTATTAGTTTCGCTGATTCCACGCAACTCACAATTCACCCTCGCTCGATTCAAGTTCCTAATCTATTTGGTGAGATTTGCATAGAACGAGCGCGATCATTCAATTCATAAAAGCCTGACTGCCCGTACGGTGATTTGAATTCCTCGAGTACGCCAATATCTGACCGCGAAAAAAAGATGATCTGATCAAGACTGAACATTATGACAGAAAAAGGCCAAACTTTCCCAAGAAGCAGTCGAACCCACAAGCAAAATTTGAAAATATTCGTGGATGTTGGATGAGAGGAAACGAATTGAATGTGAAAAGTACAGGAATACGGCAGTGTATAAATGTGAAGAAACGTCTCGTAAAAGCTTTTTTTACTTCTTGAAAAAACTACGGAAAGCTGCGATATAGAGCCTTGCTTTCAAGGTTACCCGTTTCTGAATTAATTGCCTTCTCTTGCAAGATACTCAGAGAATGCTAAAGAATCCCAATTGATAAGGATTTGACTTGTTTTGAGCAGATAGGTCTAGTGCTATATAGGTGCCTATTTCATCCTATTTAGACTCAACATTATTTTTACTCGGCGTCGATTCCTATAGAGGATTATTTAGCCTCAAGGGATTGGCGGAATCGAGGCAACGTCTACTGATGAGTCCCAATAGAACGAAATAGGCGCCTATACAAAAACACTTAGCGTCAGCCGGGATGCGAACCCAGATCTCGCTCTCCCGGGAGCGTATGCTAACCGTGTTTTTGTTTTGCACAGCTTTCCACATTCTTGGGTATATTACAAGATCATACCACCGCAAGATGCGGTTAAATAAATGAATATCGATTGATTGTTCATACCCAGTAGCTGTAAATACAAGTGGTCTTAGTGCCGATAGCGGCTGCCCCTCCAGACCGTAAACGCTTGCTGTCGACGAATAACGCGTTGTAGCGTAAAAAAAGAGCCGTGCAAAACGAGCGTCGGTGGGACAACGGTTAGCATACGCTCTCGGAAAGAGTGAGACCTGGGTTCGAATTCTGGCTGACGCAAAATGGTTTTGAGCAGCACTCCACATTATTGGGTATATAGGAAAACTTCAGTTCCATCAGAGAATAGGAAATAATCTTTTATTAAACAAGCAATAGGGATCTAGATGTAATTTTGAATGCATAATGGACATTCATTGCAAAGGCTATTGAATTCAAGTGTTAGCGCAAAGCCACTTTTGAGCTTTTGAGGACCGTCGTCGATAGCAGGCGACGTCGCGCTGTTCGCTGACGCGGCGGTCGCAGGCTGCTCATCTGCATTGCTCCAAGATGCGACGTCGCGCGACGTGCTGTGTATTGTAGCACTTGTTCCCCAAAGGGTTAAGAAAGTCACATGATGAAACCGTCGCGCATTACATGAGTTCCGCTTGCAATCTTAGTCTGTTCGAAATCACACACCTTTCCCTGTTTAGACCAATCGATTATGAGCGTTCTACAAGACGCCACCAACGCACTGTTTTTTAGCAATAAGCAATCATCTTTCCATCTCAGAAAAAATTGAAGGCCCAGGCATGAGGAAACGTTGTGAAAAATAATTTGTTCTCACGTCTGATAGGTGTGAATGATACGTATCCCAATACCCACATGCAGGGGTGGGGAAGCATAGTGTTAGTGATGCTGTTTAAGGGAGCGAGGTGATGAGCAAAGCTCTAGTTCGATCTTCTCCCTCAACATTCTCTTACAGATAGCCAACTGATCGCCTAGGAACGCCTTAGCTCGACTACCTCTGAGATATAAGGAGAGTATTGTGCCAACATACGACAGTATTCATAAAGAAGACGATGTCCTCAAGCAGTAGTCGAAGCGACATGACGTGCAAAAACGACTCGCATAATGGTTTGTTACCTTGGGAGAGGTACCTATAGCGAGGAATTCTTGGTGATGCTCAAAACCAGAGTGGCCTGTTGCCAAAATTTCACGTAAGAGACGCATCATGGTGTCGAGGATCTTCTGTGGTAATTTACACAAGTGCAAGCGCATGAGTTCAAGGTCCAAGTCTATTCGAGCGTGGCTCAGTCGGACATAGTGTGAGTGTGCGTATCCTCAAATAGTAGTGTCCTTGAAGACTGCGCTCAACATTTAGAGAAACAGACGTCATGTTGGCTTTTACAAAAAATTAACAAGATTTCACAATTCTTTTCACCAAGCGTACCTGTTGAAAGTCTAACTGGAATCAATGTAGGGAAAATTTTTTGTTAACCTTAGTCCAGTAATATCCCTCAAAAGTATATAACGCCAGCGTTGTGCTGATTGTAAAGAGTATGTAAATAGCGTAAAGCTTTAAAATAGTGCCAGTGAACAAGAACTTATGTTAAGTCTGTCTCAATGAATCATTAATCACAGCGCGGATTACAAAGTTATTGGTGAATGCCTAAACAAAAAAATCGTTAGATGTCAATGCAAATATTGTTTGAAGGCCTTAATTGTGAGAAACAACTGATAAGAGAAGTGCAAATGTTTCTAAACAGAAAATCTACACTGTTAAGGAAATTTGTGAGATCAAGAGTTGAAGATGCGTATTATTCTTAAAGTTGCCGCTCAATAAATTGGTAACTGCTCAGTTTGTGTGCCTCTAGTCGTTTTGTTAGAATGAGAAATAATTCCCTCAACACTCGCTGAAAATTCAAAGTTCATACATAAATTCGATTAAAACAGCAATAATTATTCTATCAAATAAAGACAATCGTTATTCACGATCTTCAACCAACAATCTGCAAGATTTCGGATCTGCTCGAAATCATCGCTCTTTGGGCTTTGAATCGAAAACTCCTGAGATGTCTCTTCAACCTGATCAAATGTCTCGAATCAACGTCCACGCAGGAAATGTTTCATTGAGCGAAAAAAGACCATAACTGAAGGGCGCAGCATCTGGACTGTGCAAGACCTCGACTCGCTCCAATCCATTAAACTTCTCCTGAGTCTTCTTTGCACTGTGAGGTTTGGCATTATCCTGCTGTCTCAACCTATTACGTGTCTACTGCTGGCTACGTAGGAACTTATATTCTGCGACGCAATTCTACATTGTAAATCTTTTTTCGAAGCGTTTATATATATTGTTGTGAGAATTTGTTCCAAATATGCTGCTTAACAATATGAATTTTTGCAGAGGTTATAAATCTTTTTATCGTATAGCAATCAAGTAGCATAAGAATAAGATTAGTCGCATAAGTTTAATAAGTGCTAGATTTGTACTAAGGCTCACATCCATCTCAGTAAGCCCCAGTAATCCAAGTCACCGCGCCACAATTGGTGCATCGAAAATCATACATCTGGTAGCCAACGAGACATGGTACCACTCCAATAAATCATATCGAATGGTCGATCTGAGGCTTCACTATTCACTTCAGCGTAATTCGCGTGGACTTTCTTCACGGCTTCCTAATTTTCACGTTTAGAACGGTTAGAAAATCCATATAAAAAGCAAACTGTCAACGTGTGCTTTAACATAGTAATTCAAATGTGACTGTTTGAGTTCACCTCATAACCATTGATAAGGAAAAGCCAAAGACTGCTTTTTTCTACACAGACACAACTGATATGCCATTGAAAGTTAGTCTATTCACTTGTCCGCTAGGTCTCGTGTCTAACGATAAACACGTACGGTTCCATTTTGTCTTAGCGAAGATTTTTTTTGTAAATACAAAGGAAAGGTTTGCCCGTTTTTTCCAGATCATTCAGACATTCGTAACTTAGTATCCTCTTTATGTCACACGTCCTTGACAGTTTTTTTTTTTTCGCGGAAAATCAATATTGCTTTCATTTTCTGATGGTTGATCGAGTTTGAAATCACATTCTAATCGATACATGGTACTATCTTATCAAATTCTGTAAAGAATTCGAGGAAATAAGTAATCAACTCAAATCTGCTTCCTACAACTTCACTATAAATACTTTCAAGAGTCAGAAAGTTATCGGATCTAAGATGGAAATTTCAGATATGAAACATTGAAAACCGATAATTTCTACCACTTCCATAACGCACCCAAGATTTCCTTTATATTATAAATGTACAGGATAAAGAGCAAATTTATTTCCGCCTCATACTTTGCGAGATGTGCTGTACCGAAGTAGCCAGATTGAGCAGAACTCCTACATAATGCTTTCCTCTCAAAAAAAGCTGTTTAAGGTCATTTTTAGAATATTTAGGGAGAATAAAGGAACATTGCAATCCAAGCTGCTCTATTAGTTCTGCTTTCATGAATAACCATTATTATTGATGTGTTGTGTTCTTTCATTAAGTGAAATATTTGCGCTTACAAATTCGGAAAAAATATCGAAGTCAGTTTTCGAAGGTTGTCCATTGACAAGCAGGTGCGGCTTGAATTGATCGCTCTGTCAACATCATTTACACGGAGCGAATGTTTGTTGAGTAACGATGTTCCCTTTATACGGTCACTGCTTCTTCAGTGTAAACTTGTTGGTCAATCCCCGGTCGAAAATCACACACACACACCCACACAGTTCAAATGTCTTGAAAGAACCACCTTTTCTGAAATCTTCATTTCAATCGAATGGCATTCCATATTATATTTCTTCGAGTTTTTTCTTCAAGCTCATTTCACCCGACCAACATCGATTAACCCCATTTCGCTCAAGGAACAATTTTTTCGACCGCAGATCTTTCCATTCGCAATCTCTACCAAACGAAAATCACTTTTTACTCACTCTCATTCATATTTAGCCTATTTTATTATTCACTTGGTAGATATTCAGTTAGTGCTTATGAAATACTTCATGTGTGGCAACGAGGGATAATAATTTCGTCTGTTTATTCATATTTATGAGATGCACGAATATGACACCGCCGTTTTTTATACTGTGATAATAGCAATAATAAATATATGCAAACTCTTCTCTTTCATTTGAAAACGCGTTGAAAAGCTCTTTATCTACGTAATTTTTTACATTAAAAATATTTTATATGATGGTTTTTTGTGGAACTTTGGAGATGACTGACGACTTTTGCACTCGAAAAGCTCCTTTTGCGAGAAATCGACGTTGCAAATTTATCAACCAAAAGTGATTGAAATTGCTGATTTTCGAATCGTTAGATTGCGCATTTTTTTGCGTATATTGTGGTGTACAGCTTGCCTAAATTTGCCATAAGCTGAGACTGTCGTGGAACAAAGTCGCTTGCTACTCATGCACGAATGGCGCGTAAGCAAAATGCTAGTGAAACGGCGCGTAGGAATAGTGGAGCTTAAAGCAAACTTCATCTTGAAGCAGGTACAGCTAAGTTTTATACTGGTATCTTCGCAAGAAAATGCTCATCTCAACGGTACCAAGGTCTTGCAATTTTATTGCAAGAATCATATCAAAACCGAAACGGTACGAACTTTGCAATGTGCATATGATGAAGCTCAAACTCATGTTGCAAAACCGATTGAAAACGTCATAAAAGAAATGGGGTGGGGGGTTCTAGGAGATTTTACCTTACCCGTCTCAATTTTCCGACACTTCACCGCTAGATTACCAGCTGAATTAATGAATTGAAACTACAAAGAAGCAATTTTAAAAAAAGACGTCTTTCGGGTACAAAAGTCGTCATCTTTGAATTCCATGGGAACTGTCATATAAAATATTTTATACATAAAACCATATAAATTGAAGCGCTAAAAGCACTTCAACAAAAAAGGAATTTTCAATTCTTCATTTTTACTATTTAAACAGTAAAAAAAGTGGCAGAGTCATATTAGTACACAAAATATATGTCTTATCTTTGTTAAAAAGAAACATTCATGCACTAAGTTGGTATTTCGGAATCAATTAACAAAATTCACTCCCTTTCCCACTGATTTTTGCCCTCTCACCCTCTTTTTGTGCTGTTTTTTCTCTTTTATAGATCACTCATCTCTGCCTCTTTTTAAGTTGCTACTGTATTCCTGTTGTGTATATTCTCAACTAACAGACGAAAATGTGTGAATGGAGAATAAACAAGCGAGACGAGCACTTATGTTTCTCCACTGGATTTTTGAGCTTTTATACATGCTTCTGTTGCTTTT